CTGGATCGGATCTGTGATCAATGCAAGTACGACAAGCAACAAAAGAAAAAACCAATAGTAGGGAAAACTACTCCTTTGCTGATGTTATGGAGAAATTAGAAAAAACGAGCTTAGCACTATAATACAGCAACTGAATAAATGGGAACAGAAGGAACTAGCGAAAAATGTTATTTTTGAGGGTATCACAAAAAAGACGGGGAAAATATAAATGAAATTGTAAAAAAAGTTGCAGCAAAATTGGAAGTTACTTTGAGTGACAGTTTCTCGGCGTTCCGATTGGGAAAGGACCTGCAAAAAACATGCCCTATAAAAATGATTTCTCAGGATATTAAAGACAAGAAGTGGTTTGTATAATCAAGGAAAAAATTAAACTTAAATAGTGAGGATTTAGGATTTACCAAGAATAATGAGGTATTTTGTTTTGTCCAGATTTGGATCTTTGAATTGTGGTTATATTAGCTGTCTTGTATGGGTTTTCTTGGACTGGGAAGGTTATGTAAATGTTCGCAGTTTAAATTTGCACAAACGATTATTTCATTGATGAACAAGAGCAGTTTGAAAATTCTGAAATAATCCCTAATTTAGATAAATATTTGCAATTTAATGAAAACAAATTTCAGAACCCTATTAAAAGTTGAGGCAGACCTAGAGGCAAGAATTCAACGGCGCTAGGCCTGGCAACAGTCCCGAGGTCGGGATTCGAATAATGTTTAGAAAAACCCGAACGCCGTTATTAAGCCACGCCTCTTCGGGATTTTGCTTTTTCCTAGCGATCCCGCGTTCGGGACTCTTAGACAGTTCCTTTAAATTATCAAGCGAAGGATGGTACGTTTTCTTGATGAAAACGTGGGAGTTGATGGGTTTCAGTGTTTCAGTGTGGCTTCGTCAAGGGTAGTAATACCTTCTCTGCTACATTTTTTTTTGTTGAAAATAATATATTACATATTCCTGTTACTACAATATATTTTATCAAGGGTACAACAACTTAATAGCAGCAAGCATGACAAATCCTTATACCTAAATAAACTAAATAAGTCTCAGAAATTTAACTTCAATAAACCCATTCAACAGCAACAAATCCATTCAACAACAATAGAGCCATTTAACAACAATAGCATTATTTAAACCGCAACAACTTAAACCTAAACCTAAATATAAACTTAACAATTTCAACCATAGGGTATAGGGTATATAATATATTGAGATCGAATCAGTAAATCACAGTTTTAAATAATTCTTCAGTTGCTTTATGAATAAATTAACAGAGTGAAATTGCCTTATGCACAAGGGTAAAAGCATTAAATTCCTTAGAAGCCTGAAATATTGGGCTATTTGAACCTTTATTTGTTCTTACTCTTATATTCTCCTGATAAATGTTATTATGTGATCTAGTATTATAATCGTGGATATCGGTTGAGAATAAGATATTTGTATATGATTTCTAATGATTGTTTACGACTTTATACATGTATTTACACTGCTCTAATTGAAGTATACCTCTAAGTTTTGAAATGTTCGATTCCCTATACAGTTGTTCGGTGTGCGTTAATCTATTGAAACTGAATAACCACTAAGACTCTCAGAACTTTATTTTGTAATGTTTCCATCTTTTTGAAATCAATTTTTCCACAGCAACATTACCATTTTGTTGCCTATTGTATAAATACCATTTTATCTATAAGCGTTTGGTTATGACGTTTTTTTTTTTTTTTTTCTTTTTTTTCTGACAATGTGATGTCACAGTCAAAATGAAAATGACGGTCACGTCATTTATTTTTATGACAATCCTGTGATTTATTTTTTTATCGATTGAATTTTCTGACTCAATCTATAAACTGACCGTCATTAAAATATGTATATAACCGTCATTGTCGTCATTGAAATATATGAAAGTGTTACTGTCAAACTAATGGAGAAGGTGGAAGCTGTACTTTCTAACTCATTCGATGACTTTGATGCTGATGATTGTTGATTTGAGTTATGTTATGTTCAAAGGTTATGTTCTACATTGAAGATAAATGACGACCATAAATGACAATATATGACAAAAATGACAAAAAACATTCTGTCACCTATCACAAAAAATAAATGACCGTCATTTTACATCCCTAGTTACCCCTGAAACTCATATTATATAATTTACCTAACAGAACCTCATGACTAACCACATCAAATGCCTTTTTTAAATCCACAAGTACTACATATTTTTTTAAATCTAAATCTGAACATTTATATATTATTTAATATACCATGATTGCACAAAGAGTATTGCTGTTTTTAACAGAACCGTACTGAAACTGATCAATGTTTATATAGCTATCTATCAATAGATATATTTCTGATGATTTTTTCCACAATTTTTGAGAGAGAGCTAATATAAGATAAACCTATCGAAATTTGTATCATTGAAATCAGCAAAAGCAGAGCTTTCTAATGAACTATTAATATATAGGGTGTCCCATTGAAAAAAATTGTATTTTGGTCAATATCTTAAAATCGAGGCTGAATAGAAAAAAACTGAAAACGTCACTGATTTCTGCTTGAAAAAGTGCTTCTAGGAAGTTTTTACGGAAATCAGTTATTTTCATAAACAAAAAAGTTATGAAGATTTCACAGTATTGCTCAAAATCGAGAATCGCCCTCTAGCGGCTAAACGGTTGAAGATATCAAAATCCGTTTTGCACCAATCAAAATTTCAAGAAATTTGAACCTCGGAGTGGGGGGTTCATTTTTTTGTATCTCGCTCAGAAATTGACGTTTCCTATTAAAACCATCCAAATTCGGACACCCTGTACAGGTGGTCAAAAAATAGAAAAATATACAGGGTGTTTTCGAAGTACGGTTCGTAACCTCAGGATGTGATTCCTTACAATATTTTAAGAAAAAAAGTTTCTATAAACATGGGTCCGGAAATGTGTAGTTTCTGAGATACACGGTCTCAAAGTTTTAGAAAAAATCGTTTTTCCATTTTTTTTTTGATATTTGGCAGGTTTATTTGTGATAACGAAAAGTATCCTTTGACTGTAATATGACTTGCTCAATCTGAAAAAAATTTCAAAGGTTTACAAAAGTAGTGTCGTGCCATTTTTTTTCTACTTTTGCCAAAAAAAAACTATATTTTTCTATTTTCTGACCACCCTGTACATGCTATTGCAAGTTTCAATAGTTTAATAGTATTTTTTCAAGAAGCAGAAACTTTTATAAAGAATAACTTTTTTTCGTAAAATTGATAATAAAAAGTTTCCCATATGCTGCGAACTTAAGTGGACACACTGTAGGTACCGGGTGTCCCACTAAGGTCGGCCAGGTACGATATTATGGAGACCATAGACCTTACGTAACTTGAAAACGAATGCAGATATTAAATTGCGGTTTGCGCCAAAATGTAGATTTTTTTTTGCTCTTTAAGCACAGCAATACAAAAATAATATTATGCCATTTGGATTTTTCATGAAAATTAGAAAAAACGGGATCTTGAATAAACTGCGCCCTCTAGAAGACGCGGTGGGAACTATCGACCTCGAACGAACTGGTGTTCTTAATAACAATGAAATTCTCTTCCAAATAAACCCAAATTGAATGAGTTTGAATGAGGGGTATGGAAGATACAGCAATTTCTAAAAAAAAAATTTCACCAGCTCTCCTCACCCTTATTACTGAAGATACGAAAAAAAGCCTAATTACCAAACTGGCGCAAAAATTAATGAACTTTTGATTTCTGTTGTTAAAACAGTATCTTAATATAGCGATTTCTTGAGAAAAGTTGAATTTTTAGCTATATCATCGTAATTGCGCCCCCTAGCGGTCATCCTAGAATCTTGAAAATAATTTCCATCAATTTCTCTTGGCCGATTTAATAAAGAAAAAAAAAATCCCGAAGCCGTAAGGTCTATGGTTTCCATAATATCGTACCTGGCCGACCTTAGTGGGACACCTGGTATATATTCCTATAGTAATTTAACAAAAACTGAGATAGCTGTGGATAAAGAAGTAAAATATGCAAACGTTTTAACACATCAAATTGATACAGGGACATTAAACATGAAAAAAGAAACCGCGAGTCTGAAATGAGAAACCCAAAAGAGGTAAAGTAAACCCAAAAATACTGAATGTAAATCCAAGTGAGGGGTCAAAAATATGAAAAAAAGATGTTAAAATTTCGATTGATAACCTTCTATTAAAATATCAAAACAGAATTATTTCCAAAATGAGTCTGAAATTTCAACATTTTCTTAGTTTAGTGGTTGACAATGAAGTTAGGAATAAATTGGAAGAAGATGGAAAAATAGACGGAAAAAGATGACAATCCTTAGGAAATATTTCGAGAGGTCAACAGATAGAGGTACCGGTTTGATACGATGAACCTATAATTGACAATCCGGATGAGAATGAAGACCTTGACTCAGAAAACAAAAAACAACAGAAGGATTACTCAGAAATAGAAATCAAAAATTCCGATGACAAAATAGCAAAATTACAATGAAATAGGAATAGAGCGAGAGATGAATAAGAATAGATACTTTTGAAATTAGTGAATTTTTAGTGTCCTGAGTCCTGAGTAATCATCAGAAACCATAAACCCTTTTCACGTGGCTCCGGTTTCACAAACGGCAACATACCGCTCAAATTCGAGTGGTAGGTATCCATCACGTCACTTTGTAACCGGGTTAGAAAACGGTATGTCATTTCTCTAACCCGGTTAGTTAAACCGGAGCCACGTGAAAAGTACTATAATGATTATATTTAACCCTGATAATAAGTTCTTTCAAACTGAAGGGTTAATTTATTAAATGTAGATTATAATAATTATTATAAAATTGCAAAAATTCAAGTACATAACTACTTTGTCCAAAAATGTTCAAATATAGTCATGCCTAGTGGTACCCTGAAGGTCAAAAAATTCTGGGTTTTTCTCCCGTTGCCATAGTAACATAAGAAAATTAAGGCATCCGATTGGCTATAAAATACAGCTGTTAAATTTTCAGTAAATTTAATTTTAGTCGACTGAAGCTACAATTACACCCACAAGTGTCACATACGCAGCTTGGTTAATTATCAAAGACTGGGCGCATCAACAGCTAGGGGTTCAGTTTACTTCGTTCGAGGCGTTGGCGCATTATTTGGTTAGAAACTGCTCTGTTGGATCCGGTTCTGAGGCTGCTAGCAAACTCACTTTGAATGTGGAGACACAGGCGAAAAGTAAGAAAAAAGTATCATTGTAAATATGTTACGTAATAATTATTTAAATTGATGAATTAAGGTGAAGAAAGTCCAAGTAAAAGTCTCCATAAGCATCGAGAAATGCAGCTGCAGCTACAGAAAAAAATACAGCAAAGAAGTGAGGGCAAAGAGCGAAAAAGGAAAATTCAGGTAGGAAATAATTTTTTATAAATATAAATTTAGTTCTATGAAAGGTGATTCACCTGATTTAAATATGCAGTTTTAATGAAAACACTGATAGTTTCTTCAAAAATTTGGTTGATTATTCCTTTCATTTTTTTCATTTTTTTTCATTTCATTTTATTCACCTTAGATTCACAATGTAAATGTGGCTTTGTCACAATATTCAATCATGATAATAGTAAAAAATAAAGTAATATTAAAAAATAATAGTAGGTACTTAATAATAAAAAACTAACAATAACAACATCAAGTATTTCAATAAATTTTGTATATAAACAGTCACAACAATTATTATATAACATAACATAGAGCGACTAAATTGCGTTGATGTAGAGAGACATAGTATTAAAAATTAAGTTTCAAATAAGAAACTTTACTTTTTTAAAAACTTTATTTTAATTAAAAGTAAAAGTAAAGTAACATATGAAGACTGGTGGAACTAGTTGCTGCTGCAAAGCATGAAAGCAAAAGAACAATTGTGCATGGCTGCACCGCTTTTTATAAACAATAAATGCAAGCTAGCAATATTCACTAAAAACGTCAACAATTGTGATGTCATCGTGGGCGAGCAATTAGTATGCTCCTTTAAAGCAATAGATTGATTAACTAATTAACATTAGTTGATATGGGAATCGTTCAATATAACTCCTCCCACCTTAAGATGTTGCAAATTCGGGTTGTTTTAATTGATGACCCAAATCTGACAATTCGATTTGCACATTTGTTGAAGTTTTCTTCTTTTTACAAAAATAATATGCTGAAACTAAAAATATGATTACAATGCTTAAACCTATGATTATATAAGTATTAGTATAATTGTAAGAATAGTTAAGTTCTTTCAAAGGTTGAACTTCTAACTTCTTTGCTTCTTCAAAGGCTTCTTGAAGTGTCTCGTGGTTTAATTCTTTGATCTTGAGCGTAGTAATATTTTCTGCTAGATCTGGTATGTCCATTTTTGGTATTTTCAACTCAAAGTTGAAATTTTCATTTATCTTTTTAAATGTCTGATTGTTTATTGTTATCCGACAAGTATCGAGAGTGATTAGAGTTGGTTTCATCAATATGTCCATGTGACTAATTTTATCACATTTGGTAACAATGGTTTGACTCTTTTTGGGTATGATCAATAGTTGACCATTTGCGAGTTGTTTAGTTGTTGGTTCTTCGTAATGTATTTTTACGAATGAGCACTTCTGTTGTCCGTCAGTAATTAGACTGTAGACGCATGGTTCTTCTTGTTTAAGGATTTCTTCGTTACACAAGTATATGTTTTCGACTCTTGGGCATTCCCATTGGATATTATAATATGAGTCCGTAGTAAGTATCAAGTAAGGGAACTTCATTCTAACCGTGAGGTTTTGGATTGGGATAGGATATAATTTATACAAAAGAAAAGGTCTTGGGTCAATAATGGGTGTATAAATTACAAATATTATAAGTTCGTTTTGGATTTTAACTTGTGTTTTCATAGTTTCAAAATATTTGATTACGTTGTCAAATGGAATCTGCTGTTGTTTAGGTATATTATGCAGTATTTGATTCAGTTCATTATGTTGAAGGATCGTATAATGCATAACTCCCAGCTGTGCAAAATTAATAGCAAGTTGAATATGATCTATTAAATTTTGTATCTTATTACTTTGCATGTTTATGTTGTTCAATATCAAATTGAAGTTTAACATGGTGTGAAAATTATGATTTTCATTAGTAATATTATCAATTTTCTCTGCTAAGAGCTTTTGATTAGCTTCAACATTTAAGAATTGGTCATGGAATGTTTTTGTGACTTTCCTTAGTACTTGTGCTTGTTTTTCTAGATTTTTATTGATAGTACCTTGATTTTCATTTAAGATTTGAATATATGAATCGTATCTAGCACCATCTTCTGAATCTAAAGTACCATAGAGCCATTTCTGAGCTGTTCCCATAAAATTGAGAAGTCCTCTTTTGCTTCTTTTATTACCAATAGTCTTAACCGTTTGTTTCATTAAGTCTACTTGTAATTGACTTGTTTCAATGTTTGTTTGGAACAGAGTGGACCATGTTGTTTTATTCAACATCTGTGTTAATTGATATAATGAACTCAATGTTGTTTCTAATTTGTGTATTCCTTGTAATATGATAGTTGTATTGATATGATAAAACGCAGTATTGTGTTGTATGGTCATATAAGTATTTCCTAAGGAAATTGGTAAAATTGGATTTTCCAACGAGGTCATCGTATAGGCGTGGGCAATTCCTATTACCATAAGGGACGTTAGGACGTTCATTGTCTTTCACCTGAAATAGGATATTGTCTCTTTACATTTTGTTTACTAAAATGTCTTTGTGTTTGTTTATCGTATCGTGGACTTATTTTGTTTCTATTGAATTGCTTTACATAGATTGGGTTTTGCAATTCGGGTTCAATTTCTCGATTCTCATTACGTTTTTCGAGTACTTTAGTTTGTTTTGATGTTAATTTATTCTGAATTTCTCTATTAAGAGTAGCCAATGAGTCCGCTAGATTATTAATATAATCAGTAGTTATTTTATTTTCTGTTTGTTCAATTGGAATTGCATAATTTAAATCACCCTTAATTATTTGAAAAGGAGTAAACTCAGTTGTACTGTGCGTACTATTGTTGTAATTTAAAATTGCAATTACCATTAAATCGATAACATTTTTTGTTGGGTTTTGAAGTTTAAGAGTTGTTAAACTTTCGCGTAAAGTTGAATGAAATCTCTCGATTTGGCTATTAGAGTTGGGATTTCTAGGTGTTATGTAATGAAATTCAATATTGTGTAGTGTACAAAGGTCAGTTATAATAGTGTTTTTGAACTCAGTACCATTATCTGAAGTTATTTTCTGGGGGATTCCGTGGTCACTAAAATATTTTAGGAGTTGTGATGTTATTTCAACAGCTGTTTTAGTATTAACGGGAAGGGCTTGGCCAAATTTTGAAAAACTGTCTATAATCGTTAAAAATTTTTGATTATTACTTATGTACGTGTCAACATACAAATGTTCAAATGGTTTTGAACCAATTGGTGTAGGTTTGAACATTATTTTGTACGGGTGTCGTTCATATTTGGTCTTATTGCATATCTCACATGCTTTAACGTATGTTTGTACATCTTTCTCGATGTTCGGCCAATAAAATCTTTTCTTTAGTGCCGCTACGTTTTCAGTTATTCCTCTATGGGATGTCTTTGTTTCATGATACAATTTTAGTTTCTCTTGTTGTTCATCAATTTCGGCTACGTCTTCGACTAGCGAGTTAGATATATACAATTTAAATGAATTTGCATTAAATGCTGACTGCAAGGCTCGTAATATTATAGGTTCTAGTGTCTTATTTAGAAAATGAAGACAGTATGTGTCAGGGGCCATATATTCTTTAACTAAACTGACTATTTGGTCATTTGATGGATTATTTGGTAGAAAGAATATGATTCTCTTTTTATTAGGAAAAGGCTTAATAATTTCTTTCCTAATTGTATTATTATTTGAGTAGCGAAATATTACTTGATTAGGGAAGAGATTCACATGTTTCTTCGTATATGGAGCACCTATAATTGGATTTTCCAAGGATGTATGTATAGTTTGTTCTTCCGAAGGTGTCGATATTTTTTCTTCATCTTCTGAGTTTGTCGAGTTTGTCCTTTGTTTAGGTTTTATTGTAAGGGTTTTTTCTTCTTTATTATATATTTTTGAACATTCTCCCTGTTCTATTGGAATTTCTTTCTTCTTCTTTGGAGGGATAATTATTTGTGAAATTATTTTAATCTTTGTTTCTTTTTCAGATGCAGTTTTTGTTGATTCAGTGTGGTCTGATGTTGGTTTGCGCAGATATGGTTTTGATTCCGTGAAATATTTTCTAATTATTTCATCATTACATAAAGGTGTGTCTCTTAACATATCTCCTAATTTATTGTGAAATTCTTCATCAGTTTGTGCTGTTACTTTCGCATCAGGATCTGATGATGATGAGGTTTGAAGTGTATTTATTTGTAAAGGTGGTCTTGATAAAGCATCCGCGTTCATGTTAAGGGTTCCTTTTTTATATTTAATTTCATAGTCAAATTCCGATAACTTAAGTCGCCATCTTACTAATTTAGAAGTTGGTTCCTTTACGTTGAATAACCACTGTAGAGGTTTGTGGTCCGATAAAATAGTAAATTTTCTTCCGAAAAGATACGGTCGGAAGTATTTGGTTGCCCAAACAATTGCTAAAAGTTCTTTCTCTATGGTTGAGTAATTGCATTCTGCAGGGTTCAACGTACGACTTGCATATGCGATAGGAAGGTCAGAGCCGACAGGGCCTTGAGATAACACTGCTCCTATGGCATAATTTGATGCGTCAGTTGTTAAAAGAAAAGGTCGATTAAAATCGGGGTGTTGTAATACGGGATCATTTACCAGGATATTCTTGCATGTTTCAAAACTTTTTATAAATTCCACATCATGAATTATCTTCTTGTCCTTTTTCAAGCATACCGTCATTGGTTTCGTTAATTTAGCGAAATTCTTAATGAATTTTCGGTAGTAACCTACTAATCCTAAGAAAGATTTTATCTCTTTGACAGTTCTTGGAATTGAAAATTCCTTTATTGCCTTTATTTTGTTCGGATTAGGTTTTATACCGTTTGGCGTTATCACATGTCCTAGAAATTCTACTGTTCTTTGTAAAAATTCAGACTTATCGAGTTGAATTTTTAAATTATATTGTTGTAGTCTTTCAAATACTTGTTTGAGGTTTTTCACATGTTCTTGAAGTGAAGTCGAAAATATGATGATGTCATCCATATATACAAGACATATTTTGTTTTGCAATCCAGATAACACATTATCCATCGCTCGTTGAAAGGTTGCTGGTGCATTTTTAAGTCCGAATGGCATTCGAGTAAACTCATAGTGTCCATATTCAACATTAAATGCCGTCTTAGGTATAGAGTTGGGGTGCATCTCTACTTGATGGAATCCA